AAGGAGAGTAAAACTGCGAGCACGACATTGTATACAAAAATGTAAAATGCTTTTTTTAGATAAATGCTATAATTGTAAATAACTGTTTAAAATAACTGTAATTTTAAACCTCACAGAATTAGCATTTAGAATTAATGTTAAATAATGAAAAAGAATATAAAATTCAGATGAAGAATAATTGTGTTACTTTTTTAATATTTAAAGTGAGAAGATTTCAAAATGTTTTAACCCGGGAGCAGGCACGCAATGGATACTAAGGCTAATGGTAGTGCGCGGGGGGGACTCAGTCACTCCAATCATTTGTTTATAATTATTTTTACTGTACACGATACAAATCGGAATTCCATTGAATAATTTAATTAAGAGAAAGTATACTTACCGGTTTTTCAAGGAATGTTCAATTTTTCTTTGATGATTTGAGAAAAAATCCAATAAAACTGAACTAAAATTATTTTTAAGTGCAAGACCTTAATAAAGGACGCAAATCAAAGATACTTTTCACTAATATTACAGAAATGTTATTTGCTGGCAAAGCTGTCATATTTTGTTCAAGTAATTGTAATTTTAATGAGCTTTCATGATCGAGTGAGAATATTAACGTCGCACTGTTCAGGCTACACGAGGACTTTTAGAGACGGACCTCGAAATTTTGAACCATGGTTGACGAGGACGATACTTGAGCTGGCCTCTTTTAACTACACATCACTCCAACAAGAGGACGTTTGAGCTCTCGACAGATTTAAGGTGGCCGCGGTAGCCGAGTGGTATAGGCATCGGATCGTGGCTGGCTTTGTCACGAGTTCGAGCCCAGTACCACTAAAGACCCGCCGTGTAGGGCAGCGATGCACGCTAAATCTGTCGAGAGCTGAAACGTCCTCCCGTTGGTGTGGTGTGGTAGTTAGAGAGGTGGTGCCAGCTCAGGTGTCGTCCACGTCACTTGACCATGGTTCAAAATTACGTGGTCCGTCGCCAAAAGCCCTCGTGTAGCTGAACAGCACGACGTTAATCTTCACTCACTCACTCGACAGATTTAACGTGCACCTCCCCCATACACGATGGATCTATAGTGGTACTGGGCTCGAACTCATGACACCTTTGGTGATCAACAAATAGCAAGTTGAACTTTTTCTTTCTTGTGTCTTTTTGACAAGAACTGAAACTTGTGGTACACTTATGGCCTCATATTTCAGTTGATGGAGTTCTATAGGAAGCATTTGAAAATTTTCATTTCGTTACATGTTCATCGCGTTTCTCAATCATGAATAATATGCATTCTTTTGCTTGATCCTTTGAACTTCCTTCAAAAGAGATCATAGATGCCCCGCGCCACCGCTCCCGGGTTAAAAGTGTATTCAGAAAAAAATACGGATGTTCTAAAAATGATTATGACGTTTTCACTATGCTTTATATGTTTGAGATACTCCTAAAAATATATATCTCAGCCAAATAATCCTTCAAATCAATCAATTCTTATCTAAATATCGTAAAACTCTTCATTATTTACAATTTCCCTTAGCGAAAAACAAATAGTACATAAAAGATGGGACGGAACTAATGTAGAAACCATACCAGTAAGTTTGAAGGTCAATCAAATGATCAGCAAATGTATTATGCTGCCTGGCTGAAAAGTGAATCATGTCTTCCTTTTCTTTCTACAACTAATGTACAGTATTTCAATAATAATTACACTGATGAAATATTTATCTTAGAATTTTTCTCGGGGTCTGGGTTTCGTTTTTTTCATTTAACGAGTAATATTTTAGGTTAAAAACGAATAACGCCAGATGATAAACATAAATTATATCAGTGTTGTGTATTTTTTATTATGGAAAAAAGTATTTTGTTTCACTTCTTTCCGTTTATTTTTTAAAAAAAATATCTTTAAATTTTCGATATGCTCGCGCCCTCCTTGTAGGGTTATCGCGCCCCCCAGGGGGTCGCACCCCACACTTTGAGAAACACTGCCATACCCAAGTTGTCACAAGTAGTCGGGTACTTAAAGGTGCGAGTTATACTACGAATATACCTAGAGATGCAAAAATGTTATTTGTAAAGTATAGGTGCCGAAAAATACGCTAATAATTTGATTTAATAGATTGAAATAATAATTCTTTATTTCTCCAAAGACAAAAAATTAGAATGAAAAACCATCGTTGTGTTGCCACATTTATTATGAAATTCGAATTCCCGAAAAAGAGAGCAACACGTGAAAATAACGCGTCATTTGTTCATTAAATTGCTTCATTAATAAAATATTAAATTTTAAAATTCAGTTCCATCAAGGAAAAACTCTTCCTGTATTAAGTAATAATGAACGCATCATTTACTTAATGCGAGTTGCAAACTTTGAATAATTTTTTTTCCTTATTTCAATTGTTTAAAAGATTACAATACAAAATCGAATTTATGAATGCATCCAAAAAAAATATTGCTCATTCCTAAGGTTTCCAGAATTTTTGTTTCTCAATATTCTCTTACAAGGCCAAGATTTAAAGGAAAATATTGTAATGACGTCTCCAGATTCTTAATTATCAATTATACAACACTTATTGAACTCCTGGAAAGGTGTTATTTTCAGTTGCTAAACCAGTATATATAGACGTGTGTCAGTTTTTTTATAAAGATTTCTGAGAATCTCGAATTTAATTGCAGAATCTCAAATATGGTTGCAGCACATACTTTGATAATTTTTTTACCAAAATAGGAAAAATTATTCAATAAATTTGGAATATTGATCCTCCTGAGTGGAGTCTTAAGATTTTTTTACACTTTGAACAATTAAAGAAATACAGTCGGACCTCTATATAATGAAGTCGCTAAATCCTGGAAAAAAGTTCGTTAAATAGAGGTTCATCTTTTAGTATACTTTACAGACCACATAAAACAAATTTTAAATTCATTCACTATGTATTCATTCACTATTATAAAGTAATTATTCACGCCTTTATTAAAACTAATGCATGTTTATTTTATACATCTTACCGAGAAAAAAAAAGATAGAAAGAAAGCTGCAAAGAAAACAAGAAAAAGAAACTCGAATTACTTTCGAAAGTATTGTCGAAGTCACTGTATTTTCAATATTAAGGTATCCGACTACGTTCGGAACCGTGATTTTCAAAAGCGCATAAATAGATAATTTGCATGATATTTAGTGTCACTTAGATTAGAATATATGCATACAATTGTTTTAAGGACATTTTGACAAAAAAATTTATTTAATCTCGCAGTTTTCAGCGAGATTTTCCAAGTTCAAAGAATTATCGGAAATGCATAAGTTTTTTATGTATCCTGATGTGATTTAATTTAACAAACTGAACTTGTGCCAATTCAATTGGATGAAAATTGAAAAATTTGAAGTGCAACTGATTGATTTCATGTCTAGTTCAATATGGATTAAAAAATTTGTTGAGAAAAAGGAGAAAGCTGGAATTGTTTGAAACAGATACATTAGCAATCAATTTAAGTAAAAACGCTAGTAATGAAATTTTGGAAACATGGAATTCGTTTCCAGCTACATTTAACTGTTCGAAGAATATGGACCATGCTATTTTAACCATATTTTCATCTACCTACGTCTGCGAGTCATTATTTTCAGAGATGAAAAACATTAAAGACTCGCTTAGAAACTGTTTGGCAGATGACTCCAATTCAGCTTGCATTCTGCTAAAAGTAACATCTTACAGTCCTAATATAAGTTATTTTTCATCTATAATCATCAACAGCAGAAATCACACTGTTTCTTTTTAAATTTGAATTATACGTATAACTATAAAACACAACTATAAAGTACATAAAATGTAATTTTTCGTAGTAAATAAAGAGTTTTGAGTTGTTAGTATTTAGTTTTATATTATTTTACCAATAATCACAAGTCGAAATTATTTTTGTGGCACGTCTAACACTTCATTAAATATTTCTTTAGAAAAAATGGCACGCTGATCCATAAACGTTCGCCATCCCTGCTCTATACATTTCCATTACACACTCAGTTATCACAGCAGCGTTTAAAATATAAAATTAAATAAACAAAAATAAATAAATAAATTTGTCTTACATTCAGGCCATGAACTTGTGAAGCGACAATATCAATCATTTTAAGCTACATTGCTCCCGGTAATTTGAGAATAAATTCTTCCAAATTAAAACTTTCACAGTCGCATTGCTATGTCCTACATCAAACAATGCTCGACGTATAGCGCCAGAGCATGTATTTATTATTGATGATCAAAAAAGAATTAGTTTATTTAAACTTAACTGATCTTGACGGTAAAAAAAACCGGTTTAATGAACTGAAATTTTAAAGGGCAGTGGTGAAAATTTGGCTTTTCCCATTCGCTATTCATGTTTTTGACCTCAAAAGAAAATAATGAACTCGTAATGCAAGTATAAAGAAGGATTTTAACGCACGGGGTGAGTCAGAACAAAGAGTCGAATAATTTGCCCTGCTTTTCTGAAGAGCAGTTAAAACGAGAAGGCGAATATGAATTAAATTGATTTTTTTAGACATCAAAACGAGAGTCGAAAAGAATTCTGTATGTCCCACAACTTTAAAAAATCGTCTAATATGGAAAAATTCTAAATATTTTCCCAAAAAAGTAAAAATAAAATCTATGTCACATTTATAAAACAAGTAATATAAAAAAAAATAAAGTCAACTCCTACTTAGGTGAACAAAGAAAAATTTCGCATTTTAGTTACTTTTTATTAAATATTTACAATTAATATGAATATGTATATACGTATGACAGAATCACAATATTAGATGACAAAATAGAACGCGATTTTCCTTGCAATTTTCAATTTCCCATTCTATGTATGGTATTGGACTATTATTTTTTCTTGTTTCTATTTATTCATTAATTAAATTTAATTATTCCAATAAAATAGTACTGTAAAAAGAAATCCCATTCTCAGAAATTAGGCCGCCCCCATTTTATATATTTTAGTTACTTTATATTAAATACTTACAATTAATATAAATATGTATATACAAATGACAGAATCCCAGATGGGATTCGAACCCACGAGATTTGGATTAGAAATCCAACATGACATCCATTACGTTACAGGGACACAACGAGCGATTTTCCTATTTATATATGGTGCGGGACTATTATCCTTGTTTGTTACTATTTATTCATTAATTAAATTAAATTAATGAACTAATATTGGAAAAAAATGTATCAACATCAAGTGGGATCCCCTACAAATTTAAAAAAGTGTATTTGAACTTGAGTGGATGAATAAAAAGTGTTTTATTAACGATTGAAAATTTGAACAAGCTGCCTATATATATAGAAATAAATATAGGAAGAGTATGAACTAATAGAGTAAGAATTAAAAAACAGGTCATTTTTATTACAAAAAATTTAAATTAGTGTACAGTGAAAATTCAGTCTATTAGTACGTACTACATATAAAAATTCAGATTTGATAACCTGCTACACAAAATTTATGATAATGGGAAATTTTAATGCATGTTCTGTGTCAGAATCACGAGTAAGAAAATGTTATTCCATACTTGTAACAAATTTCAAGCCCTTGCGAATGAAATCAGCTGTTAGTACCCGAACTTCTCCTTCGACTTCGTCATTATTGACGAAGGCCGCGGTAGCCGAGTGATATAGGTATTGGATCGTGGCTGGTTTTGTCACGAGTTCGAGCCCAGTACCACTAAAGACCCGCCTTGTAGGGCAGAGATGCACGCTAACTCTGTCGAGAGCTGAAACGTCCTCCCGTTGGTGTGGTGTAGTAGTTAGGAGAGGGAGATGCCAGCTCAGGTGTCGTCCTCGTCACTTGAGCATGGTTCAAAATTACAGGGTCCGTTGCCAAAAGCCCTCGTGTGTGTAGCTGAACAGTGCAACGTTAATATTCACACACTCACTCGTCATTATTGACTTCTTTATTATCATAAACTGTCATAAATTCGATCAAATCCTCATTCAAACGGCGATAATTAATTTTTTTTTTTTTTTTGAGATTCGTGCTAGAACAAAAAATTCGTGTAAAAAAAATTCGTTAAATTCGTGGACCGTGTTATTTAATCAATTGTGTAAAAAAAAGTTGGGAGCATTCCTTTCCTCAAAAGTTAACTCATGAAGCGATTTCGCAATGTTTTGGAGCAAATTTTTGAGGTGTTATTCAGCACTGATGTTGGAAGAAAATATTTCTAATCTGTGTTAAATTATTCATACTGGCATCATTCGTAAATAGCCACCCATCCAGTATAGTGATTATGACCCTCGGCGTGTAACCGAGTGTGCTCGTGTTCGAATCCCGAATAAGGCATAGATGTATCATCGGGAAAAGAAGTCGTATTTTTGCATGAAATGGATTCTCGTCTCGAATGGAAAGAAGCGCACCCCTTCTGTTCTATGCAAGGATCATCGTCTGTAGTATAAAGTCTATATTCTTCTGTGTTTGTATTGCATTTTTCTGTTCTTCCATCTCTCGTCTTTCATATGTATTCCAGGAAAAAACACGCTAACAACATCATTCGTAAATTAACGATAATTTGAATGTTTCATTTGAATGAGTGAGTGAGTGAATATTAACATCGCACTATTCAGCTACATGAGGGTTTTTAGCAACGGACCACGTAATTTTGAACCATGCTCAAGAGACGTGGATGACACCTGAGCTGGCACTTACCTCTCCTAACTACCACACCACACCATCAAGAGGACATTTGAGCTCTCGACAGATTTAATGTGCATCGCTTCCTTACACGGTGGGCCTTTAGTTGTACTGGGCTCGAACTCGTGACAAGGCCAGCCACGATCCGATACCTTGACCACTCGGCTACCGCGGCCACATGTTGCATTTGAAATAGAAAATGAATGCATAGAAGAGATTTTTTCCCTAATAGGATGCATATTGACAACTAAGCCATTGCAGACATGGGCATATTGACAACTAAGCCATTGCAGACATGGGCATATTGACAACTAAGCCATTGCAGACATGGGCATATTGACAACTAAGCCATTGCAGACATGGGCATATTGACAACTAAGCCATTGCAGACATGGGCATATTGACAACTAAGCCATTGCAGACATGGGGGCATATTGACAACTAAGCCATTGTAGACATGGGGGCATATTGACAACTAAGCCATTGCAGACATGGGCATATTGACAACTAAGCCATTGCAGACATGGGGGCATATTGACAACTAAGCCATTGTAGACATGGGGGCATATTGACAACTAAGCCATTGCAGACATGGGCATATTGACAACTAAGCCATTGCATATTTGTCCCCAAATATGAGAGCCATTTCATGGTGGCATCATCTAGTGTGGTGGCACTTACTACCAAATTTCGACGTTAGAATTCATTTTAATTCAAGCTCTCGTCGGATGTTAAATATCGCCAAGAGTACCAAAGCCAAATTAATACTCAAGGGATCTTTTACTTGCCACAAAACCATATGAGATGCATGTGTACGATTTTTGCATTCAGAAAATCTATCAACTCCAGCCGGGAGGGAACTAGAGATTGCAATATCGGGCCAAAAGTTCAATACAGGTATTCGGTATTTTTTAGACTTTAATACCGGGATACCGGTTTGAACACTGGTAGCAGAAATTTTAGAAAAAGAAAGAAAATACAGGTGTGTTTCTCTCTCTTTGTTTTTTTCGCCAGTTTTATCAAGCAGTGTAAATATCACAAAAAATAATTCGTAACTTATAAATTATAACAGTGTATAAAGAATCACAAAAAAAAAGAAAAGAAAAAAAGTAAAGAAACATCTTATGTGTTCAAATCACAAAAAGTGCAAATATCACTATTTAGTCTGTGGTACTGTTACAAATTTTTAAAATATGATCTCAAAAAACATAATGCACCAATTGTATTGTCTTTAAGCATGGAACGTAATTTTTGTGCAAAAAATTTCCAGCTGTCGAAACCGTTCTTTCGGCATTTGCTCTAGTTAGTGGTACTGTTAGCAATGCGCGATATGCTTTTTCCAAGCATTTACCGCTAAATCCCTCATCTTCGAATAAATCGATTTCTCTTCGGATGTTTTTGGATATAGCTGATTTCTGTATTGTATTTTTTTTGAAGCAACATCTCTCCGACATAATGCCTCAAGATACAGTTTTATTGGAAGTAGAGCTGATACACAGTTTTCGATATTAAATCGAATTCACTATCTGAAAAATCAGTTTGCTGGTTAAATTCGAACATTTCTTTTTGGTTTGGCTTTTTCAGTTACAGTTTTTTTCCCGCTAAGGAGACATAAAAACAAAAAGGCATACTATTTTGCTATGTTGACGATCCCTGAACATATAGAGGAAACAATTAAAAAAAATTCCAATAACTGCCGAAAAAACGGCATTTTAACTTGCGAATACCGGTATTACAGATAGTAGAAATGGCTCAAGATACCGGTATTCGGTATCCCGGTATTGCAATCCCTAGATGGAGCCCTCAATCTTGGGCTCATGAAGCAGACACGCTACATCTAAGCCACAGAGCCGATATGCATGCAAGAGTGAGGATGGTACTTTTAAAATTAGTCTTTGTTATTTTACAAAAAGATCATATTTTATACATCATCTTACAAAACACTCTGAACACAAGAAACACAAAATGAAACACGTAATATATATAAAAAAAATAAATTAAAGTCCATTTCTACTTAGGTCAACATAGAAAAAGTTTATTTTAGTTACCTTTTATTAATTGTTTGGTTGATTGAATTTTAACGTCGCACTGTTCAGCTTTTGACAACGGACCACGTAATTTTGAACTATGGTCAAGTGACGTGGACGACACTTAAGCTGGCACCCCCTCTCCTAACTACCACAACATACCAACGGGTGGACGTTTCAGCTCTCGACAGATTTTACGTGCATCGCTGCCCTACACGGCGGGTCTTTAGTGGTAGTGGGCTCGAACTCGTGACAAGGCAAGCCACGATCTGATACCTATACCAGTTGGCTACCACACCCATCTACATTTTATTAAATAATTACAATTAATATAAATATGTATATACATATGACAGAATCACAATACTAAGTAGCAAAATAGAAAGCGATTTTCCTTGCAATTTTCCATTTTCCTTTCTATATAGGGTGTTGGATTACTTTTTTTGTTTGTTACTATTTATTCATTAATTAAATTTAATTATTCTAATAAAATAGTATAATTAAAAAGAAATCACATTCACAGAAATTAGGCCATCCCAGATAGGATTCAAATTCACGACCTTTAGATTAGAAGCCCAACACTCTATCCATTGCACTACAGGGCACTGCGAGCGATTTTCCTTTTTATATATGGTGTTAGAATATTATTTTTGTTCGTTACTATTTATTAATTAATTAAATTTAACTAATGAATTAATATTTGAAAAAACTGTATTAACGTCCCGTGTCATCCAATACAAGTTTAAAAAATGTATTATAACTTGAGTGGATGAATAGAAAGTATATATATATATATTATTAACAATTGAAAATTTCAACAACATATATATATATATATATATATATATATATATATATATATATATATATATATATATATATATATATATATATATATATATATATAGGAGATTGTGAACTAATAATAGGAATTGTAAAACCAAGATCTGTATGGGGATTGCGCACGTAAGGGGAAATGTTTCAGATTGTAATGTTCCTTTTCGGAAACTAGAATGAAAGATATTTTTGAAATGAAATAGGCTTTAATATAAAAATTTAGAAAAAAAAATTTATTAATTTTTTCAATTCCTACTATTATAGTTTATTCTTTCCTATATATATATATATATATATATATATATATATATATATATATATATATATATATATATATATACATATATATATACATATATATATATATATATATATATATATATATATATATATATATATATATACATACATATCTTGTTCAAATTTTCAATCGTTAATAAAATACTTTCTATTCATCCATTCAAGTTCAAATACATTTTTTTACCCTTGTAGTGGGTGACACTTAACGTTAATACATTTTTTTCAAATATTAATTCATTAATTAAATTAAAAAATGAATAAATAGTAAAAAACAAAAATAATAGTCCAACAGCACATATAGAAAAGGCAATTGCTCGTTGTGTCCCTTTAGCGCAATGGATAGCGCGTTGGACTTCTAATCCAAAGGGCGTGAGTTTGGAGGCCACCTGGGATGGCCTCATTTTTTTTACTGTACTATTTTATTAGAATAATTAAATTTAATTAATGCATAAATAGTAACAAACAAAAAAAATAGCCCAACACTATATATAAAATGGAAAATTGTGAGGAAAATCGCTTTCTATTTTGTCATTTAATATTGTGATTCTGTCATATGTATATACATATTGTGAGCAACTTACTCCTGAAGCCGCTGCCTAACCGTCTTGCCTACCTATGAGTGTAGGAGGAATAAAAGCAGAACCAGAAACTTCCATACTAACAATTATTTATTTATTCAAACACACTAATCAACAACAGTTTAACCACTAAATAAATGTCCTAGGAGTGGTAGAGAGAAAGCAATAAACATTAAGCGAACAAGCGCAAGTAATTAAACTTAAACTAATCTAGCGTTGATTACAATCCCCCAATCCATTAACTTAATACAGTGGCAAACACCGTTCTTAATCTTAAGCGGCGAAAATCAATTTTACTTTTATCTCTTTATCTCTCCTCTATTTACAATTACAAAACTATGACTTTATATAGTCGAACTAATCTACATATCAAGGTTTCTTCTTGAGAGGGATGGTTGTGAATTAAACGTGAATGCTAGCCCAAAGATCCCCCAAGAGGATTAGTGTGAAGATCGCTTAAGGATCCGTCACAATATTTATGCTAATTGTAACTAAAATACAATTTTTCTTTGTTGACCTAAGTAGGAATTAATTTTATTATTTTTTTATATTACTTGTTTCTGATGTAACTCCGACAAGTATGTTTCACAAATGGTTTTTAGTGGCCATGGTGGCAGAGGGATCATGATAGCAAACTCTTGGCAAAAATTCGAGTTATGGGTGTGAAATTTGGTGTCACCGAACACCCACCGTGATGAAGAGCTGTTGTATTAAATCTATCGAAACTCAAAGTGCTTGTGTTAGAGAGGTGTGGAGTCTGGAGAGTGGGAGCCAGCACAGATGTTGTCCTCAGCACTTGATCAGGGTTCAGGCCTACGAAGATCATCGTCAATACACCTTATGCTTCATAGAATGCGACGTTAATAAAAAAAAATAAATCACACACAGTTAGATATTATCCTTCAGAAATTCGACGTTTTTTAATCAATTTTAGATGGAGGGAAAGCAATTGAGGAAGAGATAAGAACTTAAGTGGTGTATCAATGTTTTCAGACAAAAATCTTTCCATCTTCAATTCACTACTTTATAAAAGTTAATCCTTTTGTTGGTTTAAAAATGACTATTATTTGATGAATCCCTTCAAAATAAATAAATAAATTTCAAAATCCGAAACGATTTATCAGAATTTGACAGTCTAATTGAGGCGCGTATCTTGATTTTTTTCCCTCATACTTATAAAGTAAATTATTAGATATTGATCTACAGACCACATAAGCACCATACATAGTTGATTTCACAATTAATGTTATTGTTACGTTTATATTGCGAAATGATTGGAAATAATGATGTCGTTAACATTAGAATTTTTCTTTATTACTGTTTCATGGACCGCATATATATATATATATATATATATATATATATATATATATATATATATATATATATATGTATTTTATTTTCCTTTCACTCTCACTTATGCCTTTATATATATATATATATATATATATTTGAATATATAAAACCTTATCGTATCTTAATATTTTTTTGATTTAAAACTAATAGAACATTAAACTTATCGAATAGAAGGTGTGTGTGTAGCATGGTTTGAGGATTTAGAGGCTAATTCATGGATAAAAGAATTAGATTGAGTAATAATTATTGCCAAGCTTATAACTAAAAAATATTTTTCAAAAACTTGGATACCGAAAGAAAAGAAATTATCAATTCACTGAATAGCAGAATTTAGAACAATCATAGAAATTCTCAAATGTATCATACATATAACACAAGCTATAATTAAAGCCTTTAATTTTTTTTATTTTTGGTAACAAGTTTTCTGGAAGAATTATTATAATAAAAAATGCCCTTTTTTACTTCACAATATTATAATTAAAAATATAAATTCTTGTTTTTCAATTTATTCATGTTTCATACATTCAAATGTGTGCTAAGATGAATTATTCAAAGAGGTGCAATATTTCCATCTTATTTGACAAGAGAAACACTTAATAGCATTCTCTTTCTTCATTTTAAGGAATGAAGTACCTGCTTTATAGATACACTGTTATAGAATTCTTCATAAAAGTATGCATTATTCAAAATCTTTGTGAAATAAAAATAAAATATTTGAAAATTCAACAGTGTTACTGTAAGATTTCTTTTCTACTTTGAACTGTTTATTCATGTATTTAACCTCTTAAAAAGTTTGCCCATACGCTGTATGGGCACTGATATTTTCTTCTTTTTATCCTTGATTTGCCCATATTTTTAACACGCTTTTATAAGTTTCTCTTGTATGTAATGGAATCTGGGGACTCGATTTTTACCCACTTTAAAAGGTCAGATTATTTCGAAACTTTGCACACTTGTCAAGGACCGATGACAATACAATAATTTCATAATTTTGTTCTATTGTACTGATCAGGATATTTCAAAAATAAGGATTTCAAGATTTGTCGACTAATTCGTTATATCGTTTCTAGATTTGGCAACTAATTGTATAAACCCTTTTCAGATTTGGCGACTAATTCCATACTCCATTTCCAAATTTGGCGACTAATTCCAGATATGGCGACTAAAAGACCCTACTTCTTAAAAAGGTGCAACCCTAAAAATGAAAACGCTCGTTATTAATACAAATAAAAGAAATAAAAAAAGTGTTCTTTATGTAAGAAAGGAGAGGGTGGGTGAGTTAGCCATAATATAAGTCTAATTTTTCTGAAAATAGAAATTTAAAAAAAAGACCCGTGCATGTGTGAAAAAAAATTAATGTTCTAACTGCTAAATATTTTTTTTATTTTTCTAAAGCAATACGTTTAGAAGTGATTATACGAATTAACATTATAGCAATACATTTAAAAGGTGATAATACGATTGACATTTAATATTTCTTTTTAACACACACTTTTATTAGACCTGTATCTAGAGACGGAATCTTTGAAGACAAAGATATGGGACTCACCCGAGGCCCCATAAGCGGAGAGAATAAGTACCCTTCAGACCCATTAATTAATACCCATTGAAGAGCAAGACTAATTCCAGCAGCCACGTAATTCCGGCTCCAAATATCAAACTCAATGATAAATTCAACGAATAATAAATGATAGTTTTAAAAACTAAAAAACAGGCTTTTATTGTAGATCGAAAAAATGAAAAATAAATTATAGTTTAAAAAAAGAACTATAACAGCGTGTTTTTTAGGTTTTTAAAAAACTATAATTTATTTAATCTTATAATGAGATTATGAATACTAGGGTGTTTTTAAGATATGCAGTTTGTCCATGGTACTGAAATACTTCTCATCCGGGATTATTTTTGTGGTGAAAGAGGGAATTTTTCATTGAAGGCTGGAATTTAGATTCTTGAAAATATTCCATAAAGAACAAGGATTGCCACGGTAATGTACATTTAGTTGCTTGAGAGGAAATGAAAATGGAAAGATAATCCAAAAAAGCCGATATTATCTCTGTCCCCATTACAATGTAAGATTGAGTACTACACCTTGCTTCAAATTGTGTGTGCATATATATATGTACACACACACATACACACACACAATCCTCAAAAGCGTTTGAAAAAGTGGTACGAACACGAAATTTTTTGTATGAGAGAAATTCTCTTGAGATATATGAAACACATTCTGCATAGCATGCAGAGTGTACTTTTAAAAAGCAAACATTTAGGGGTTTTTGTGTTCCATAATTATAAAATAAAAGATTGTGTGAAAAGTTTAAAATTGAAAATTAGAATAAATTCTTCTATTTTCGCATTCTGTGTGTAAGTATTATGCTTAGCTACATGCAATAAAAAAATGTGCCTTTTTTTTGGAACATTTTGAACAAAAAAAATTGACCGCTTGAGGGTATAACCAAGGAGAAAAACCAATTAAGAAACTGAACAATAAGAAAGGTGTGCACCGTTTTTTATTTTTAAATTCTTTTTTATTTTACTCGTAACTTAAAATGCCTTAATATAAACTTTAAAAATCCATAAGAACATTTTAATACAAGATATCTTACTGCATAGTTTATAAAAATGTAAAAAAGAAATGTAATTTTCCGAAGTATAAGGAAGTATGTCCATAATACATCAATTATTAAATATGATCAATCATCATTCATGAAGGTGTTAAAATTTTTATTCATATGTGTTTCTTATATTTAGAGCATATTCAATGTCATCTGCGTGTACTTCCTTCTCAAAAACTCATTACAGAATGCCGAAAATTTGAATAGCATATGATGAAATTCTCCAGCATCATCAACTATTCAACCTTGAATTATCGTTGCAAAAAACGAGTAAAAAGGAATTGAAATTAGCTTCTGCGTAAAAAAGAATTTGTTCAGCTGCATTTGTTTATTTCCAGAGAATCAGACCTATCAGACTTAATTCCGTATCGGTTCCTGTTTAGAAATTTAAGAGACAAAATTTCTCTCTATATATAAATTCTGCTTTTCAAAAAATAATATTAATCCGTCTTTTCATGCAACATTTGTAGGTCAAATAAGCGGAGAGAAAAAAAGAACAAAAATGAATTTACTGTATTAAAATTTTTTATTTAATTAATGAATTAAATTTTAAAATAAGACGAATTTTTAAATCTTATTTTTTGTTGTTTGGTGTGAAACAACACTTTTTTCAAATATATATGTTGATAAAATAAATATAATCAGTTATATAAGTTATACGCTTGTTCACTTAACATAAATACAGAAAAGAATTGATCTCAATAAAGATTTTTTATTCTATATGGGTTTAATTTGCGTTAAATTAGTCGAACTCTGAAGCAACACGAGGGGTATTGGCGACGGACCTCGCATTTTGAACCACGGTCAATTGACGATGGCAACACTTGAGAAGGGAACCTTTTCTT